AGCATTTATATATATATATATACAAAATAAAGCAATTTATACTCAGTATTCAATTTATTTTTTAATAAACTGACTCTTTAATAAAATAAATAATTCATTTACACAAAATATTAATTAGTGTCAATATAAAAAAGGTAAATATTAATTATGTCATAATATTTAACACAAAACTATTGTTTGAAAGTAATTTTGTTTTTTATAAGTTTTAAATATATAAGTTAAAAATTATAAAAATGTAAGTACCTAACATTATAATATAGTAATGCTAAAAAACAAATTTTTTTATTTATTTATAAAGAGGTTTTTCAAACAGTAGTGAATTACCACAACAAAAATTTATTTTATATTATTTTAATTAATTAAATTTTTTGGCTGTTTCGAGTATTGCCAAATACCCATCACCAGTATAATCTTTGTATTTAATTATTCGTAAATAATTTTTTGAGACTGCAAGTACTAGGAATCGAACTCGTGCTGTACCAAATTTGTATATATTTATTTAATAATTATAACAATGTATTCCAATGTACTATAAATATATTAAAAACAATGGAATTCTTTAAACCAATGAACATAATCGAAAGAAATGTCTAGATGGATATCTTATATCGGATGAAAAAAAAGACTAACTATGTTATATACTTAAATAGGGGGCACAGTAAATCTCTAGATTACAATGAATAAATCGACTAATTTAATAAAATAATGCAAAAATGACAAGATTGATAGGTTCATGTATATGGACTTTATATTTCATTTAAGAGCAGATATTTCTCACTTCAAATAAGAAGCATATATTATTAAATATTAGCTTATTAAGTAAATAATTTATTTGTAAAATATTTATTAATAAAACGTAAATTTAAACAAAAAATATATATTTGTCACACAATATATTTATTTAACTCAATATTATGTGAAGTATAAAATCGTATATGTATTTCTACCCCAGTTTTATTCTCAATTCAAGACTTACAGTATTTGTCTATAATTTAAAAAAATTAATAAAAAATATAAAAAAAACTTAAAAAAAAAACAAAATTCAAAATAATTAATGCTATAAATTTTTAATTTAAGTATAATTTTATAAACAATTCGATACCCGACAAAGAATAATTATATTATAGTTATAAAATTGAACAAAAACTTATAAAGTTGTATGTTAAATTTATTAATTACGAAATAAATATTTATGGTCTACATTATTAATAGAGAATTAATAATTAAGAATTATCCAGTAATATGGAAATCAAAGAAATAATTTCATCATAAATATAAATTTAAATTTTATATTTTTTTTAAATAAATTTATTCAAATATTAATGCATATGTCAGTCCTACAATTTTTTAAAGAAAAATATATATATTATAGATATGAAAATTTCATTATTTTTTGTTCGTGCCCAATAGACTACTTAAGCGCTGAATGGGTTCGCATTATATTTTTGTTACACAATGTCTTTATAAAGGCTTAGAGTCATATTTAGGGTAGTCAACAATAAAAAAAAATATTAAAATTCCATTTTGTCTTACACCATTGAATTGATCTGCATATTATTTATACTGCATAATCTCTATATATAGTGACGAAATATTAGTCTATACTCTATATGTGTTTTTATTTACAGACAATATTTAACATAGTGTGGTCATAATACTAAAAAATGTTCTAATTCAATTTTCTTCCTAACTGCTAAATTGATCTGCGTGACACTTTTACTATATAACCACCATATGAAAAGGCAAAAAATACAGTTCAACATTTTTATATATTATTTTATTTAGCATCAATATTTTGTATGGTTAGCATCAAAAAAATATAAATAAAATTTTTTTTAAACTTGATACGTCCGATAGATTTTAAGTGGTACAAAATTCAAATTCTTACTACAAAAGATCCAATATAAAATTATGTTCAAACAGTGACAGGTCTGTTTAACCAAATAACGGTTTTATAAATCCTGATAACATTTTAAATTATTTTATTGATTTTAAAAAATTCTTTAAATATATATGGGGTTTCGTAGTATAAAATGTCACTTAAAGTAGGATAGCCAATGTTCTTTTACGCAATATTAATCCACTTAAACTGAATAGTGAAGATTCGTAAGAAGATAATGTTCTGATACCATGCATTCCCATTAATTAACTAGATTACAAACCAATTCAATCTATGTGTTATAGTATATTGATGTTCTAAAAACCCTAAAATTTAGGTAGAAAATTTAAATAAATTATAAATGATTAAATTATGTAAATCATATACATATATATTAATATATACAATAGTATACAGTATATATATATAATATATACTATAATATATACAATAGTTTACACAAAGTACGTGATAAATTATTTATTTTTAAATATTATTTGTTTTAATATACACCCAACTCTTTTTTTACACGGTAGATACGTTCCTTAGAAATCCGTGTAAAAAAAAACCCGTGTAAAAAAAATGCCAAGTGTCAAACAAGACAGTGATTTTGAGACCGTACTAGATTAAAAATTTTTTACAAAAAAATTTTTTTTTTCAACCGTGTAACTTCAAATCCGTGTAAAAAGAAACCGTGTAAAAAAAGAGTTGGGTGTATTACATTATTACATTATTATTTTAGTATATTATTATATTAAATTTAAAATATTACATACGTATATAAATATATATAATATATGAACATATAAATATATAAACACATAAATATATACATACAATATTTTGCACAAAATACATGATAAGCTATTAATTTTTAAAGACAATTAATTTTAATATATTACAATTATATTCAATTTAAAATACTACATATATCATAATTAATAATAATATTTATAAATAAAAATTCATATTAAAAAAGTTCTAAAATTTAATAAGTTCTCTTTTTCATAGTTGAATTTAAAGTTATAAACAAATAATAATGAATAACAAATTTAACAAATTTAATCATATGACTGTGATCATTTAAAGTAATGAGTATTTAAAAAAGCAATTAATATTTAAATTACATTTTCTATCTTTGATCTCAATTAAAAGCTTCACTATATAGTATAATTTTTTACGTCCCTAGGCAAACATACAAGTGCACTACAAATAAACTATTTGGTTTTGTTAAAAGCTTTAAATGGTTTCTTAATCCATACCAAATACACTTTTACAGCATTCATTACTTTTATAAAAGATGTTTCAATTTAAGGAGATCCTATCTACTTTTTGAGATCGCCGTAACCACCAATAGCACTAACTTCATAGACTCAGTGAATATAGTATACGACAGAATATATATATGATCAATTTTATATATGCATATACCTTGTTTGCTTGTCTTGAACCAAAAACGCAGACAGATTTACTTTCACACTATAACACCTACTCTTTAAAAAATATATAAAGTGGATTTTAAAAATATAGAGACTTTCTAGAAAAAAGAAGACTATTATATCCTACTGACAGAAAAATTTTTCAGTATCAGAATACCGTTGTTTGTATGACTGAGTTTTGTTATTGATTTATTATATGCAATTATATTAAAGGCTTGAATATAGAGAGTTGCCTGAACTACTTATTCTAGTAATCAATCAATATTTTTTAACTTTAGTTTTGCGACAAGTTTCGTTCCATCTAATACTTCAACACTGAATTCCTAATAATCAATATACGACTACAGGTATAAATATATTAAATAATATTAGTTTGTAAATTTATACAAGAATTTAAATTTTTCACATAATACAGAATTCGCGTTTATTGTCAGTTTAAATTTATTATTTACAAAGTGGAATAATTAATTTCTTATCTTTCAATTAAAAAATTTTATATGCTTGTGTATAAGAGCATTTTAATTGATGTCTGAATTTTCAAATAAACAAACTGATAAATTTATACTCATATATATTATGCACTTAAATATACAGCAATATAAAACTTGAGGGCAATATACAATATACATATAGCCTATATTAAAAAATTAATTTCACATTTAGATGACTTGCAATATGTTATGGATAGCTTAACTTATTGAAAATCGTCCTCTCAAATTATTTGATAGAATTTTAAGTAGAAATCTGGGATCGTTGAATTACACGAGATGGTATACAAAAATTTTATGTTACGCTTTTTTGTCTTTTATGCTTAATAGAAATAAAAATATATTGAAATTGATATACAGATCGAATATAAAAATTTATATGTAGTATATATGATAAGTCACAATAATCCTCAAAGAATGCAGTGACATGGTGACAAGTTCCCAACCCGTTTTTTTAAATCTTATCTAAATCTAATAATATACTGCTTTTGTATATCTTTATATAAAATTGGAACTGTCTCTTATTCTATTTAAAAAAGCGTTTTTTTTCGTAGAATTTGTCATTTCCAATAAATCACACAATGGAAATAGATGAAAACATATATCATTTATGCAAAACGGTTCATACTTTACGTACAGTATATTTTTCTTAAAAATCAATAATAAATTTTACCTTTATAATTTTTTTTATTTTCATAACAATCAACTATTAAATTTGTTTCACTTCGGTGGTCCTGATTTTATACCATTCAGTTTCATATGGCAAATGGAACTGTCACCTATGGCCTCATATGTTTAACCATTTTACGATATTGATCGTCTTACAACCACTGAAAGTTTGAACAGTGTAAAAATTTAGTACATTGCCTCCACAAATAGTCACTGTATGGTATTATATTTGCTCTGTAGAATGGATAGGTCTACACTCATTTAAAAATCACAAAAGTGTTATACAAACTATAAATTCTGGTCATGAAATCCATATTAATGTAATTTTTTTCCATTTTGTAATTTAAGATATATGGTCTAAATAAGACTAAACAGTTTTTTCTGTACGTCACCAGTACTTTTTTCAAAGAGGATGGGCTTATGCCGACAATTCTCAAACTTTCGACACTTTGAAAACGAACATATATCATGTTTATATCTATTGATATTTTCTGAATACTTCATTGTAACTAACATATTTGCGGTAATTCTTTAGTTAGGAATCCTATTACTTATTCAAAATATTATTCATAAATTTTGTTCATATTAAATGTATTTCAGAAACTGTGACTTTTTTATTCCAGTTTTCAAGACTTCAATAGTTTTTCATTAGTTTTTTTGTGAGAATGAACTATTGCAAAATATATATAATTTCTTCAATTGGGTCAATGTATTTCGATATATTATTGTAATTTTTTCTGTGTATCAGCGCTTTAGAGTT